CTGTCCTGCAGGCACATTTTCAGGAGACTCAAAGTTTGAGTTTTTGCTTAAAAAACAGGGAACACGAAGCAGCTGTAGGCCAGTGCCGTGTTGTAGGTGGTGCAGCAGCATTCACACAGGCAGGATTCAGCGATTCAGCCACGGTCCATTTCTTCCAGGGCAGTGTGGGTGCACACCTAGCACTAGAAGAAGGCTCCCTGCCTCTCTGAAATCAGCCTAGACATCCTGATCACCATGCCACTGACGGTGATGAGCTGGTCAATGTCTTCTGGATTCAGGTTTCTCATATTCTTAGTCTTCAACACATTGAATGGTCCTTATTGAATCAGATCTTCTAAGACTCGGTCAGGTTCAATATCAAAGAAGATCTCATTGACAGCATTTTTAAAAGTTGAGGTAACTTCCTGTGGGTAGCAGATGAACTGTCTGTAGAGATTTCTGTTAAATGACTTTATGTGTTCATAGCCTACATTTAAAAATGGATCCTCAATAATATTAAAATTCTCAAGTAGTTACATGTATAGAGGTTCAACAACATCTATGGAAACACATTCTTCTTCTTTAGCCAGAGGGTCAATAAAAAGATGAAGACATGCTGAACCGGTTTGGCTCAGTGGATGGAGCGTCGGCCTGCGGACTCGGGGGTCCCAGGTTCGATTCCGGTCAAGGGCATGTACCTTGGTTGCGGGCACGTCCCCACTGGGGGGCGTGCAGGAGGCAGCTGATCGATCTCTCTCATCGATGTTTCTGGCTCTCTATCCCTCTCCCTTTTTCTCTGTAAAAAATCAATAAAATATATTTAAAAGAAAAAAAAGATGAAGACATTTCTGAAAATTTTCTTTGCATGTTGACATATTTATACCTGTTCTACAAATCCCAAGTTTTGTGGCCTTGCTGGCCCCTACTGAAAATCCACCTGCAGACCCCAGCCAGGTGAGGCCTTGGCCTGAAGGGTGTGTCCCTAATACTGCAGCGTGGGGTGCCCTCTACCAAGAGCTAGGAATACCACATGTCAGTGATGAACTAACATCAAATTCAGGAGAAATAGGAAAGAATGCATTAGAGGAGAGCTGTACAGTAGTGTGTCCTGTGTGGCAGGATTTGCAGGTCAGCTCCAGGCCAGGTCAGCATGGCTGAAGCTCTCCTGTGGAGGGAGAGTCCGCACCTCTGTGTCTCTGATGTGCAGATTGCCTGACATCCTTCCTTGGAGGGAGGAAAGGTGATCGCCTCCAAAGCACACAGGGCTCTAGAGTATATACCTGGTTGGACGTGCTCCAAGATGTCCCAAGAGAAGTTTTTTAAAGTTTTACAACAATATAAAGTATTATAATTAAGTGATAATTTTGATATATCAATATCTATATGAAAAATGCAAGAGAATAAACTACAAAGAACGAATATCAAGATTTAAGTCCCAGAATTAATGAGGTCATTCAAAAAATATATCAAACATCAATAACTTCCTTATGTACCTATAATCACTAATTAAAAATATAATACAATAAAATAATTCATGACAGTGTGCACACACACATGCTCACACACTGACAAATATACACAAAACTCTATAAAAGTGTATGAGTAAATACAATGAAATATGTATGAAGAAACTATAAATCTTTACTGAGGGCTATAAAGATGACTATATAGATATATACTATGTTCATGGATGGGAATATTCAATATTTTAAAAATTATTAATTCTCTCAAAAATATTCTATGAAATCCATATAAATAGCAATGGCTTGGGGAATTCTGATGCTATCTGGAAGAAATACACACTTAAGAATTAGATTAGCCTCTAATTTTTGAAATAAAGAAGAGAAATGTGGAAGCATCTATTCTATCAATTCAAAAGCTAAATTATAAAGTTTCAACACAAAAAAGAAATTATAAAGTTTCACCACCTCCCCCTTTATAGTGCTTATGTCAACTGCAGTGCTTTTTAAGTCTTTTGCATCACCTTCCTAATTAGAATATAAGTAATTCAAGGACAGATTTGTTCTTTAGCTTCTTTGTCTCCTTGCAGCAGAACACAGGCTTTGTACAGTGTATAGGGCATGCCCTAAGGTAGGCATGCAGTGGTTACTTGAATGTAATTAAGAATTTTATCACTAGAATATTCCCATTGCAATAAAGAGCCTGACCACATTTGTGGTGTTTGGTGCTGACTTCTCTTTAAGCTTTGCCCTCCCTTTCCCCTTTGGCTCCACTCGTGGACAGGCTGATTAAAAAGGTCCATCCTAACTAGAGAGCATTATGCTAAGCAAAATAAGCCAGTCAGAGAAAGATAAATATCACATGATCCCACTCATTTGTGGAATATAATGAACAACATAAACTGATGAACAAAAATAGAACCAGAGACATAGAAGCATCGAACAGACTATCCAACCTATGAGGGAAGGTGAGGGGTGAGGGGGTAAGAGATCAACCAAAGGACTTGTATGCATGCATATGAGCATAACCCATGGACACAGACAGTAGGGGGGCAGGGGGGAGGGCTTGTGCTTGGGGGAGAGGGTGATGGGAGAGAGGTCAATGGGGGAAAAAAAGGAGACTCATGTAAATACTTTAAATAATAAATAATTTTAAAAAAAAGTCCATACTGCCTGGCCAGCATGGCTTCATGGTTGAGAGTAGACCTATAAACCAGGAGGTCACGATGGTTTGATTCCCAGTCAGGGCACACGTCCAGGTGGCAGGCTCCATCCCCAGTGGGGTGTGCAGGAGGCAGCCAATCAATGATTCTCTCTCATCACTGATGTTTCTATGTCTCTTTCCTCTCCCTTCTGCTCTGAAATCAAAATATATATATATATATCTGGTCATCCTGTACCTCCTTCTTTCACACCCATGAGAATTTTAAGCCACACAAATCTCCAGACCAAATAAATGGGAACTGTTTCCAGCTCTAACCCCTAACCACTACAAAGTCCCAGCCCATTCCCTCTGCTCAGCCCAAGCCAGACTGAACCTGCTGAGGTGCACTCTGCTCTCTCCAGGAGTTCCTGTGTTAGTGGAACATTTTCTCTCAAATTCTCTTTGTGTGGAGTATTATCAGCCTCGATATCTGAATGAGATAACCAAAATACTCATATGAAGGAAAGCAGTATGACTGGGAGGGGGGGGGGGGGGAGGGGAATCAAAATTTTAAGGTTATCTTAAAACATGAAACAAAAAATAAAAAATTGAAAATTTGCAATCATGTATATAATTTAAACTTAGTTTCTAAATACATAGAATAGATATATTGCTTTAAAAAGTGTCACTAAGAGCTTACAGGGACAAATATGCAAATATTCCTCTAAAATAGAGTTTCATAGTTATTATATTATATCATTGTTTTGATTATAAATTTTGTAACAGCAACAGTTTACATATTGAATTGCTCCAGGAGAAAAAGCTACATTTAGTGGTGTCTTTGTTTCCCTCCTGCTGATATTCTCACTACATAAGTGTCGCCTAAGCAACACCCTGAACTATTATTCTGTCTTTATGAGACAGCTTCAGGAAAATGAATATATTCAAGTTCTGCATTTCAGTCAAAGTACGAATTAATAAATTAGTAGGTTCACAATCATGTTCAACAACCTCCCTTGGATTCATACCTGTCTATTCGCCACATAGATAGAGCATACACCTGGAGTTTAAATTTGACTTACCTATTTCCAATTGAAAAATATTTCTCTGCTAATATATTCAATACATTTAATTTTCAAATACTTTTGTTGATAAGAACCCAAATTCCCATGAAATGGATTCTTTTGCAAAAAGGAAGCAGTACATGCCTGGCTGGTGTGTCTCAATGGTTGAGCATCAATCCATGAACCCAAGAGATCACCGGTTCAATTCCCGGTCAGGAAACATGCCTGTAGGGGGTGTGCAGAAGGCAGCCGATAGATGTTTCACTCTCACATTGATGTTTCTCCCTCTTTATCCCTTCCCCTTTTCTCTCTCTCTCAACTCAATAAAATTTTTTTAAAATAAAAATAAAAAATAAATACATTTTATAAAAGGAAGCACTACTAAGAGAAAGATATAGGCTAGTCTCCATTTGAAACATTTCTTTCTTCCATTTCTTGGTTTTCGTACTTCTAGTTCACTTCTAATGCTAAATTTTGAGACTTTTCTTTGGATTTTCTAAATGCATTCATGTTTCATTTGACTAGCTATTTCTCTTTTTGCTTCAGGAGAGAAAGGCAAACATATGCCAAAAGAAAAAGGATTGATAAAATAAAGAACATAAACATTCCAATGTCTGTCTCCTTTGTGTAAAGGGTACAGGAGAAATTTGTTTGTTTTATTAATCATTTCATTTTAAATCCAAGAAGCTGTGCGAGACAAATGGAAAATGCCAGCAAGGATGACATGACGAAGAGGCTAATAAACTGCAGAATGCTTATACCGCTGAGAGAAGCTGAGCAGGATAAACCGCCTCCCTGGAAGGGAACAGGTAGCTAAGGCGAAACAGGTCACAGCCAGGCTAAACACCACACTGACAGTGAAGAAGAATGCCATCGAGTATCAAATAGTTCACAGATGCTGCAAGATATTAACCGTTTATGAATTACACCTTCATTATAACATAAAGACCATCCAATGTCTCACCATGTATCAGCTAAATGGTAGAAACAGCTAACCCTATAGCTCTTTTTTTTTTTCAGTGTATTTTGTGACAGGCACCAAACCAATTTAAGCACCTCTAACTCTAATAATATAACCAAAGCAATTTAAAATATTTCAACCACTAACATTTTACCTAAGTAAAATTCCCTTGCAAATAAATAAAGGCCCCCTGTTTTGTGTATGTGTGTAAATTTCTGCCCTTTTATTTTTAATATTTCATTTCTCCATTACACTGTTTTATGCTTTGAATTGGCAGCAATATTGGGGGGCAATATTGGTGGGCGGGGATCCTTCTAAAAGATATCTCTTCAAAATATGATCTATTGTATCCTCTTTATGGAAAGTCAGGAGTAAATGCTACTCAAAGTTACCTTCTTGATGGTTTCCAGCATGGACCGCCCGCCCTGCCAGGGCTTGGAGTTCTTCCTGATGCATGACAGGCTCGCCATGCTGTGCCACTTCCGGTCCTCCAGCTTCTTATGGAAAGCATTAGCAAGCAGAAGCACCGTGTCATAGATGTAAAGGTTTGAAATCTGCAAAGACATTACACAGTAATCATTAGACTCACCGACGCCAACCATCAAGAATATGGAGAAAATCATCAGCTCAGCTGCCTCCATTGGTAGTAGATGGCTGGTTTGCTGGGTTATTTATTAAGCAGAAGGTTTCTTTTTTCATTTCCCCGGCAATTTTGCCGGTGAGAATGAAGTCTTATCTGATTGTATGCTTCAATTGCCTTTTCAGCTTATTTAGGTGTGAAAGAGAAGATAAAATAAAAAAGAGAAGTTTCGACAGAGGCAAGGCTGTTAGTGCCAGACCTCAGAAAATCACTGGCCCTTATTTCTTTCTGAGGAGGTAAAGAGCTGAGGGCTTAACATTGGAAGGGCAAACTGAATAATACATTTTCTGAATATGTCAAGTTTTTGCACTCTGGTTATTCAGATGGAGAAATATCAACTCGATCTTACCTATAAGATGAGTGTCATAGGTATAAAAAAAGAAAATAGCCATCTGTGTGAACATTTGTGTCTATGGGGATTCAGTATTTTTAAAAAATGATAGGAAATAGCACCATTCATAAACATTACATTGACCAAGAATCTATACAAAATTATAGAGGTATACACACGCATTGCAACTCATGATCATGACATACCTTGAACTATTGACTTTGTGAATGCGTGTTTACATTAAAGCTTTCTTTTTCTAAAGTAATCATATTATTATCTTCCTCCTATGTAGATTGAAACAGGAATTATAGAAATGTTTGGTAAGAGCTATTGCAGTCTTACAGTTAGCTCTTACAGATAGCCAGAACTGCTATCCATACTATTAACTACTGAAGGTGTCTATGTTTCAAATAAATTAGGAAATATTTACAAAACATAACACCAAGAGATATCTAGTGTTGATATAAGTTGTTAAATGTGATATTATAACCTCTATGAAGGAAAAATCAAACATAAAATTAAAAGTGACAGATCAGCCTGGCCAGCATGGCTCAGTGGTTGAGAGTCCACCTATGAACCAGGAGGTCACGTTCAGTTCCCAGTCAGGGCACATGACCTGACTCTGGCTTGATCCCCAGTGTGGGGCATGCAGGAAGCAGCCAATCAATGATTCTCTCATTATTGATGTTTCTAGCTCTCTTTCCCTCTCCTTTCCTCTCTGAAATTATTCATAT